TCTCTCTCTCTCTCTCTCTCTCTCTCTCTCTCTCTCTCTCTCTCTCGCTCTCACTCTCGCTTGCTCGTTCGCTCGCTCTTTCTCTCTCCGCGTATGAATACACCCACCTACCCACTTTTCTGATGCCACCATAGTGCATTCACCCTATTGAATTCCTAAATGATGTATCTTTGATTGATCTCAGCTTTTGTCTCATACATGAAGATGCAATCAGAAGGAAGGAATCAGACAGCCGTCATCTTCCCGAAAGGGCATCCATGTCAATGCCAATTTTCCAAATGCCCCTCGAGCAGCAGCATGCAGCGCCATCGCGGCATTCTATTCTAGAGCCGAGCACCATCAACTCTGTGATGCCTTCAGTTCTCACCACGGGGACGCCCTTCCTCTTCAAGACTCTTAACAGTTTCACGCCATTTCTGCTTCCGGTGCCATCGTAAAACTCATATATCAGACAGACAATTCCCACCACAACTGTACAAATGCGCGAGGCTCGGAGCACTTCATAGTTCAAAAGTTCGCTAAAAAACGTTTAGTCACTTTAGTGCCAACTCTGTCCCACAATTTGACGAGGTAGCCCAGCCATCCCTCTTACTCTCCATCGCTCCACATTGTCCACAACCATTCAACCAGTTTCAAAACTTCCGGTTCTTGTTTCCTTAATGAGACGGAAAGGCATCCAGACCGCTCCCTGCCAGAAACCGCCTCCTCAGCAGCAGACACACCTGACTTGAGATTGCTCGCCTTGTTGGTGACAAGTGCATTTCCAAATTCTCGTCTCTTTCTCACGAGGCTGCCCATCTCAATCATACAGCAACATGGGGCAAAACCCGGAGCTCCGCTTGCAACCATCGCTGTTGCCTGTGCACGAAGCAAAAACGTTTTTGCGGATGCTCCCGCACCTCGTTCACTGCCATCGCAGCACTTCATCGACTCCCCCCTTCGCCGCCTTCGGCACCCAATCGCTGCACAACAACTCTTCAGAGGCCTCCAATCTGTCTGCTGGCAACCCTTGAGTTGTGGAAGGCAACCCCTCCATAATAGGCAATCATGTGTTTTGGCATTCCATTGCTGTTGACTACCTCCTGGTAGGGGACCACCTCCTGGTAGGGGACCACCTCCTGGTAGAGGACCACCTCCTGGCAGGGGACCACCTCCTGGTGCTGCAAAGGACCAGTTTCGTCGTAGCAGTGGTCATATGTGCACTGGCGGGGCGATGCGGCAAATTCTCCACACAAGGGCGATGCGGCACATTCTCCAAACAAATTGCAGCTCTTGACGTCATCATTTAAGACGAGGCTCGTAGTCGAGATCTCAACTGGCAGTCGGTTTTCTTTCCAGCCTATCACTGTGCCATGCCAGCAACCTCTGCACTGACCACTTGATCCTTTCACCTAATTTCTATAGACCCAGAGAGAGTCCTTGTTGGCGTTCCCCTGCTTCGCAACACTTTGCTGACAGTACGAAGGCAAGAACGGACCAGAAGGTTCGGAACAAAGATGCACAGCTCATACCCTCTCCTGAGAACAGAACACTTCTTGCCCTCTCCTCTTTCCGTGCAGGACCAGAAGGTCGGGACCAAAGATAACATAACCGAAGGATAGGAACAAAGATGTGTCCCGCTGTTCGTCACCCTTACTTGGCTGCAGAGTCTTCGAAGCTTTTTGCTACACGCAGTCTTCGGGCACATCGCTGCCACCGGTGGCTGTCAAATACCTGCCAGCGAAAGACTGATCGCGGGGCGGTTCCCCATCTTTTTGCCTTCGCTCCAGCACTGTGTACATCGTTTGACGTTGCGATATGGCCCCGCTTTATACCTTACATTTTTGCAGCCCTACCATCCACCTTCCCCTTCATTGCACATCCAATCAATGGACAGCTCAAACCTGTCCTTCACACCCTCTCCCAAAATCGCCTCACTTTCCTCGTTTCGCACAAAATCGCCTCACTTGCCTTGTTTCGCACAAAATCAGTGTCCTATCTGTTACCTTTACCAGGAGAAGTTATGGGATCTTTGCTGCACGCAGTGTCTGGCCCATCATCTTCACCCGTGGATATCAACTGATTGCAAGTGGCACACCGACCGCGGGTTACCCTCCTTCGTCCTGTCTCTCCAGCAGTGTGTATATCTTTCAACGGTGTGATAAGGCCATCCACCTTTCCTCCTTTCGTTGCACATCCCACGGACAGCTCAAACCTGCCCTCGTCAGCGCTGGCACAGCTCGGGTAATGGCTCTTGCGAACCCCTTCCTCCTCCGTGGCTCCTTGTGGCCGACGCTTCACTAGTTTAGATTCCGCACCATCTATAGAGTTTAGACTTCTTCCTTCGAGGAAAGACGAGACATCACCACACCAATGACCATCACTGATCGTCCATCGTCTTCGCTTGGACATGCTGCGCCTGGCTGCACTCACCTCACTGTCATCGCCATCTGCCGAACTACTCGAGTTGCAGAGCCTCCGCATCTTTCTCGGGCTGCAAGCGTCTGCTGCTTTGGCCCCTGCCTTACTTGGATTGGCGGGAACGGTTTGCCCCATTGCTACACGATTGACCTCGTAATGGCCAGGCTCAGCACCCACAGTCTCAGAGACGCCCACCGCCGGCAGCCTTATCACCTCAGCAGCAGCAGCATCAGATCCCTCAAGCCTGTGTGCGTGCTCGGCGTTGCTATCACACACGGCGGTTCCATAGTCGATGCACCTGTTGTGCTCTGAAGAGCGGTAAGGAAGGGCACATAGACCATTCGAGCTCTTCGCCGGACTGTCCATCGTGTGACTCAAACTCCCACAAATGTTTTCATCACGATTACTATGCGCTGTGGCTACAACGAACCTTTGCGCATCTAGCTTGGATGGGCTTCTCCCAGCATAGTCAAGCTGAACTGTGGCAGTTGCATTCTCAGCTCCAGCAAAGTGCTCTTCTGCTCTCCATCTCTGCTTGCCTGCACTCTCACCATTCTGTAGCACTCTCTGAGAACTGCCGGCAGGCAACCTGCATTGCTTTTCTGATGACCTGTTTCCATGGAGCCAGTGGAAACATCCATCCAACAAAAAACACACATCACAAATTCCACCTTCACATGTCAAGTTATCAAAATTTGAGTCGACACCACACATAGCTGCCTTCTAAAATAACGAAAGCAGCAACAGAAAGCATAACGCAGGTAACAAACAGGGGCACAGGGAGCACACAGGACATGCCATCTACACGTTTATACTACTCTACTTTATAGTAACTTCAGACTTTCACTAGATGACCTGTTGCGGCTTCGCTCGCAAAAACAAACGCGACAGGTGATGCAGTAAAAAGGTGGAGGCAACCGACGGATGCAAACTCTCTCTATCTCTCTCTCTCTCACACACACACACACACACACACACACACACACACACCGAAACATACAGCGAAAAGAAAAAATAAATAAAAAAGGAAAGTGAAATCGCTTTGAGCCTTCAATGCCCCAGGGCCCCTTCCTCTTCCCCACAGCCCTACCCCCTTCCTCGGCGCCCCATCTCTCTCTCTCTCTCTCTCTCTCTCTCTCTCTCTCTCTCTCTCTCTCTCTCTCTCACACACACACACACACACACACACACACACACACACAATCAGTTTTAGTTATGTTTGTTTTTCCTCTTTCTCATTTTTCTAAGTACTTTTTGTGTCTCTAGCCGAGCACCCTCTAGCAGTGCCAAACAGTCGGTGGTTCCTCGTTTGGAGTGCCAACTGCACTCTTAGGGGGGGCCGCTCAGTTCGGGATGTCTGTGTTGCCTGTCGTTGATGACGGATGGTTGTCGGAGTGTCTCCCTGGCTCAGCGGTGGTGGGAACCAACAGTCTGCGGGGTTCAATCATGATGTGAGTAGGTCATGTGCTGCTTTGCTCCGTGTTTGATGCATAGACTGTCTTGTCTGCGCTCTGCCGCTGCCTTGCTGCCCATGCAGCTTGCTTCGCAGGTCGTCCTCACTGCTCTGCTGCCTTGCCGCCTATCCGCGGGCTGTGCCTCCCGTGTCTTTTTTTTCTCTCGTGCCTTGTGGTCTGGTGGCCTTTTGGTGGTGCCTCGCGCTTCACTGCACGGTTGCTGAGCTGCTTGTCCGTGTGCCCTGTCGGCCTTCAGTGTCCTTTGCTTGCATGCCTTGTAGTTTGGTTGCCTTGTTGGTGATGCCTTGTGCTTCACTGCACGGTTGCTGAGCTGCTCGTCTGCTTGCCCTGTTGGCCTTCTGCGTCCTTTACTTGCTTGAGTGCCTTGTAATCTGGTCGCCTTGCTGATGTTGCCTTCCGCTTCACCGCACCGTTGCCGAGCTGCTCGTCCGCGTGTCCTGTCGTTCCTCGCAGTTGTCTTTGGTGATAAGTGGTTGGGCTGCCTCTGCTGCGTTGCCTGGTGCTCCGCAGGGTTGCTGCCTGCTGCTATGTCCCGCTTGGGGACAGTCTGCCTTCAACATGGGTCAAAGGGTTCATGCCCCAAACCATCAAATACAGAGATTCTGCAGAGATTCTGCAGATTGCCGAGGGTTCAGCCTCCTGATGAGTCGGTGCAGCTCCGACGAAACAATCTTGTTATCATCAGTTTTTATTTTTTTCGGTCCTTTGACTTTCTTGGGACTTGTTTTTTTTTTCGGTTTGCCTGCCTTGGTGTGCTTGTGTGCCTGTTTTGTGTTCTTGCATGTTGTATGCCCTTCCGCCTCCCCCGTGCCCTCCAGCCTGTGCCTTGATGTCCTTTTGCTTGCTTTGCTCTGATGCTTTTCTTATCTGCCTGGTCTTGGCATCCTTTTGGGACTTTGCCTGCTGGTGGGCTTGCACGTTGTCTGCCCTCCTGCCTCTCCCATGCCTTCTGTTGGCACTTCGGAAAGCTGGTCATGGATAACCACGTTTGTACGAGGTAGCTCCAGAGACTTAGTAGAGTGGCAGCATACAGTGTTAGTTTGGTTGCCGCAGGGCGGGGTGTACCATGGGTTCCATGGGGTGCATGGCGAGTACGACATGGGATATATTGGACACACACACAAAAAAATAAAAAAAATAAAAAATGAAAGCACGATTTCGTGCCTCGTATCCTAACCACGTGCCTGACTTCGCGCCTTAAACCTCCAACCCCCTTTTGGCGACTTACGCCTAGCTTTCCCCCGGCACCCCTTCGACTTTCCCCGTAACTTTTCCTCTTCTCCCTCCTTTCCCTCCTCTGTACTTTCCCCTCTTCTCGTACTTCCCCGTTGTCCTCTCCTCCCCCTTCTCCTCCAGCTCCATCTCTTTCTGCCTCCCTACCCTCCCTCTCTCTTAGGCTTTCGCCATCCTTTTTCTCCTCCTCCTCGTGTTCCTCTTCCTCTTCCTCGTCCTCCCCTCCATGCCGCTCTGTATCCCTTTCACGATCAGAGTGAATAGGAAAGAAAAACAAAACCACCATAGCCTCGTCCTCCCCTTCATGCCGTTTCGTCTCCCTTTCGCAATCAGAGTGAGTCGGAAAGAAAAACAAAACCACCATAGCCTGTTTCGGCCCCTTTTCCCCACGCCACTATCATCTCACCTTGTCCTTGCAAATAGTTCTTCTTACTTCTTATCTTTCATCTTCATCCGCATCTTCAACCTCATTTTCATCAGTCAGCGTCGCCATGGTTGGGTGCTTGGGCTCCCTCTCTCTCTCTCTCTCTCTCTCTCTCTCTCTCTCTCTCTCTCTCTCTCTCTCTCTCTCTCTCTCTCTCATGCGCGCGCCCACCCACAGTTCATGTGAACCCCACGAAAAAAGCATGACTGTGCCAGACTGTTCTGTTGGACTTTCGCCAACTCATCAGGAGGTTGAACCCCGACAGTCTGCCCATGGTGCATTTGCATGCATGCATGTGTTCGTACTTGTGCGTGTGTGCGTGCATGTGCTTGTTCGAGTGGAGGGGCGGGTGTTCGCGTGAGTGCGTGCTGTGCGCCGCCAAAGATACGAGGGGGGGGGGGGGACCACTGAGCCCAAGAGGAGACCGTCCCGCATGGAACTGGTTTCTCCCCGTGCCTGGCAGCAATGGCCCAAAACGCGCCCTGGCCCTCCACGAAAGGAAAACACAGGGCCGTCCCAGTAGTCCAAACATTGTGCGGCGAACCAGGCCGTTCGTGGGCCCGATGGCCCTGATTGCCCTGCGATGTTAAAGTTCTAAGATCGCAGGGCAATCCAGGCCGTCGGGACAGTAGGACCGCGAACGGCCTGGATCGCCGCACGATCTTAAAATCTTAAGATCGCGGGGCAATCTGAGCCGTCAGGCTGGTAGGTCCGCGGACGGCGTGTGACCAAATTGTTGTAGGGAGATTCGGGCAAGTCTCTCCCACCGGCTGGCGCTTGGCGGGCCATTCCCAGTATGAAAGTTCTAGACCAAGTCTGGTCTAGGACTGAACCAGCGCCCCCTGTTGCATGTCATTCCGAGTAATGGATGGAGGTGTCCTTTCATAGTAATGCATAAGGTATGTCTGAACCTGGAAGGCAGTAGTCAAAGAAAAAAAGTGCGGTAGGTGAGGCAGAGCGGGTAGATTGCTGGAGGGAGGCTGGGTACCTCCCAGAAGCCTACGGTACTAGCATTTAGGCGGAGAAGGAGCTCGGCCGGGTGTCTCAGTTATTCTCGAGCATCTGCAAGGGCACTGCCCGCCCAACTCTCTAGGGGCAATGTGATGGAGGAGGGAGAGCAAGCATGGCCCAGGGAGGCTCCTGGTTTTAGTGGATGACCTTCCTGGCTATGGTGCTTGGCTGTACTAAAGCCATATAGAATTGGCGGGAACGAGTGCACTGCACATGTCTTGAACACTTTTGCCTGTGCTAGGGCTGACCGGATATCGTGAGACTCATCAGGAGAAGTCTGGGAATGTGATGCACACACCAGCTCCAAAATCATCGACTGCTTCCCTCACACCTCCTCATCTTGGGACGCCATGCTGACCTCCTCCACAGTATGCCCCTAGAGATCGCGGCACTTGAGAGCTCACGCCTATATAAGTTAGTGGCCGAGAAAGAGTTTGAGAGACATGGAGTGAAAGATGTGAGTTCAGTGCTTCTTTATCTTGCATTCATTCTGTCTTCCCGAATTGACAAAGGAGAAGGCGATAAGTTTCGGTTAGAGAAAAAGAAAGATAACTGTTGTGTTGCAGCACCTTCTTGTGATGGATTCGAGTTACTCCTCATCATTTCTCCCTCTTTCCATCTCAGCTTCCTCAATATAATGCTGCGGTACACACATGTATGATGTAAATGTGGTTTTTCTTTTCATCATGGAATGACGAGCGTCATATCACTTTTTCGGAAGTTTTTCCTTACTCTCTGTGGATGTGAGATTTACCAGGTTGACTCCTACGATAATAAGTTATATTCCTTTCCTTTCTGCACATTCTCACACCCTTTCCTGTCAATGGATGATTTGTGAGGAGAAAGAGGCGCCTTCAATTTCATGAACTCTGTTCAATGAACTTCAATCCGTTCTCAGATCAGTAAGCTGAGCGTCAGATTCATCTCCATGATATGTCCCAATGATTCCCTCAAACACCAATCCTCTAGTCTATGATGGCTGATATCATGTTGCCTTCATCATTTATCTTACTATGATGATGCACATTGCCGTGTTCTCGTTTTTCTCTTCATTGATTAATTAATGCAGACCACACATTTCGTTACAATTTGGTAAGTCGGCATATCCGAGTAGCAACAACTCCTGTTTCAACTACCGTCTTCACCCAAATAGAACGCCTGGTCATTATCGCTGCATCTGGACCGAAAGTTGTGACAAATACGGCTATGATGACCGGGCGTTCTATTCGGGTGAAGATGGTAGTCTTCCGACATCACACTGAGGAAGACTCGTCTCAAGGAGGCTGTGGGAAACTCACTTCACAAATGCCATGGGAAATTTGGAAAACGCATTTCAAAGAGGCAACACAACGATACACTGACCTCTCTGAGGGCTCCTCCACATGCTCCGCAGAAGATCTGTCTGCGCACTTGCATACCCCCGTCTCCTGCAGACCATGTCCAGACGCCGCGGCCTGTATCGGCAAACGAATGCCATTTGGCTGGTCTGTTTTTCTGCCACTTGAATCAGCGGGAGCCGGTGATAATGTTCTCGTATTATTAGGCAGTGGCCTTTCGGGCAACGATGATGGATTCATTCCATGTTCTGATTCTTTGTGATGGCACATAGCTGGTGTCTCTGCAGCCACTGTCTCCAAGCCTTCTCCGTGCGATTGATCTGCTCTCTTGCAACTAAGATTTAAAGGAGCTCCCGACAACTGTGACGTGTTGAGCAGTTGGGTCTCATGCAAAGACGATGGGTTCATCCTCGGTTCTGCTTCTTCGAGATCGCAAATACCTTCTGCCTCCGCAGCATCCCCCTCCAAGCAAATCCCATCATTGGGTTGACATGTTTCTCTTCCACTCGATTCAACATCAACAGGAGATTCTGACGACTGTGCCCTGTCGTCCAGCGGATTTTCCGGCAAAGATGATGAGGATGGCTTCATCCCAGATTCTGCTTCGTTGCAATTATGCATAGCTGGTGTCTCTGGTCCAGTAAGTCGGGTTGCGGCATTGCTCGCCAAGACAGCAGAGGTAAAGTCCAGTAAGTGCGCAACAGGTAAGGCCTTCTTATGTCCACGAGGCAGTTGGTCTGTTGTGCTTGTCGCCGCCAGAGAATTGGAAGCACGCTCCGCCATGCCAGGGGAAGAGCCTGCAAACTGCACAGGGACAGAGACTGCAGATGTGTGTGGGATGAAGGGTGACGAAGCATCCTGTGAAGAGGATGAGCGTGACGGCGTTGACGGTTTACTGTTCGTTTGACCCAACAACAACGTGGTGAAGTTTGGATGGGGGCGAGCAGAGACCTGGGTCGTAGGCTGTCGCATTGGTGGTCGAACTGGCGAAGGCCGAACTGCCGGACTGTAAGGGCCAGAAAAGCCAGCGAAACAATTCAAAAGGGGTGGCCTCCCTGAAGATGCCACCGGACGTGGAGAAAACAAGCACTGTGAAGGAGGGAGGTAGCCAGAGGGTCGCAATGACCGCGGAGAAACCTCAGAGCCAGTTGCCCTGCGCCTTAAAGCTGCAGCCCAAGCAGGGTAGGCAGGCAAAGCAGATGTCCCACGGGAACATGACAGATTATTTCTTTGCTCGATCTCCGTTGAATCTGTCGGATCTGTTGGATTCCCTCCATCTCGAACCTCGCCGGCATCATCACCCTCACCCTCAACTCCCACACGATTCTTCCCGCCAGCCACCTCCTTGGCTACCACATGGTTTTCCACTCCCTCCAGATACCCCCCACGGCCGACTTGCCTGTCGGCGCTGCCCTCCCCCTTGGGAAGGGCCTTCTTCCCTTTCCGAACACCATGCGACCGACCCTGCATCATTAACATCTTCCTCTCTCTCCTTTTCTGCCGTGCCGCAGTAACTCTCTCTGGTTCGTACAACCGAGCCAGTTGATCATTATATTGAAAGGCTTTGGCCACACCCGCAGATTGACTACCCAGAATAACACTTTCTTTGTTCCTGTCACAGATGGTGCCAAGTGCCCTTGCGCCTGCTGCTATTCCTGCCATGGAAGAGTCGACTCCTCCTACCTCCACCCCTGTTGGAGGAACAACTGGCGTCGTGTTCACTTCTGCTAAAGTAAGACAACCGTGTTCCGAGCACTCCATGTCCCTGCTTGTTGCACATCCATGTCCATTGCCCGACTCATGGTGCTTCAGTCCCACATTGCCATTCTCGTCTTGCTGGACTATTGCTTCCTCAACTATTTGTAGAGGTGCTTCACCCTGTTCACAGTGTGTTTCCCTTTGTGCCAGTGCACTCGATGCAGTCCCGTGTTCATTAGCCATCATTAACACTGGCTGGGAGGCATCGTCCAAGATCAGGGGGTTACCGTCCATCACCTCTTTATTGGGTGGGCCATCACGCTTAGAGTGTGCTTCTTCTGCCTTACTCTGTCTCCTTCCCTTCCTTCTCTGGCTACTTTGACTAGATGGTGACTTGGCGGCTCTGGGAGACTTTCCATTCTCTAAACCAGAGGAGGAAAGGTCCTTTCGCCTTCTGCCACCAACATTTCGTCGCTCGTTCTTTCTCCCATTCGCTGCTTCTTGGGAAGGATTGTCCAAGATCGGAGGTGCACCATCTGTCAGCACTTCATGCGGTGGTCCACCAGGCTTAAAATGTGTCTGGTCTTCCTTGCTCTGCCTCCTCCTCCTGCCTTTCTTTGTCTGGCCATTTTCAGATGGGGACGCTGGCTCATCACTGTGACAGTTCCTATGCTCTAAGCCAGAGGAAAGGCGTTTCTTCCGCTTCCCACCGTGGCCCCCATCTGCTTCTGCTTCAAGGTCGACCAAAGGGTTCTTGCTCAGTCGTTTACGCTTATTGTGCGTCTTACTTCCCATGCTCATGGACAATGGTATGCGCATTTCCTCGGTGTCATCGACACCGTTGCGACATAATACATCACCAATGGCCAGGTCCTCCCTTGCTGCCCCAAGTGGAGAGTGTAAAGCCAGGGGAAGCGACTCTTCCTCACCATCAGCTCCAGCCTCAAACCCATTGTCGGCATTCCAGAGAACAGAAACCTCTCTCACTTGCGAGTTCTCATCACCAGTCGGAATCGTGGAGGGCGGTCTTCTCTCATCTGCATGCTTTCCTCCCCTCCTAGGCCTCTTTTTCCTCACTGTTTCCTCCTCACATTCAACAATGCCCTGCTCTAACAGGGCTGCACTCTGTTTTCGTCGACTTCTTCCACCACCACCACCTCTCCCTCTCCCATTCGGTTCCTGTTCGCTAGTGTTGTTGTTCTTCTCCGAAACAGGTGCACTTCGTTTACGTGGGCGCCGCTTGCCGCCATCCACATGCACTCTTTCCCCTCTCCTAGTCAACGCTTCTCCATTTGCAGGAGCCACTCCTCTGGCACACAGCATTTCTTGAGGAGTTACAGGGGCGCCGGCCTCCACAGAAGTGTCTCCAACATCACACACCACTGATGCACCACCACCTTGTGGAATCCCTGCCAGATGCCCATGCCACTCTAGGATTTTCTGCAATGCAAATGCTTCCTGTGACGTGAGCGCTGCAGGTCGTTTCTCCGTCCCAAGAGGGCAACCTTCCTGACCCATCGCTGCTGCGCTATCGCCTGCCGGAGTACTTTCCTGCTGTTGGGACTCATCGTACTGTTGGCCACCTTTGCCAGCGTTTGTCCTTCGTTTCCTAGTCCCATTGGCTTTCAAGGAATCAGGCAAGCCAGCAACCACATTTCGGCGCCGACTTTTCTTCTGGGCTCCTCTGACTCGATTATTCCCTGTATTTACAGCAGGACAAGTCGCATTGTCATCCACTGGACTTCCCTCAGCGCCTACAACGGATTGTGTGGCTGAAGGCGCCCCGTCAAGCATACCGTCTTCCCCCCCTAGACTGCCACCATCACGACTGCGCACTTTCCGCGCCATTGCTCGTCTCCGTTTTTCTTTACCAGCATGCCTACCCTTGCCATGCACTGGGGCCTCACTGCCTGCAACGGCCTCTTCATGAGATGACTGACCCGCTTCAGAACCTTGGCCAGCCGAGAGTGCACAATCGACATTCTCATCGTCAACGGCTTCGCCTGCCATAGACTGGCCTCGGCATCTTCTTCGGGGCTTCATCTTCGGGCGGCGATTTACAGTAGCAGTGGGCTCCAACTCTTCCAGAGAATTTGTGATACGGAAGTCCTGAGGCCCCAGCTCAGGACGCTCGCTCTCCCGTCCCACAAAATTCGAAACCATAGCCACTCGTTTTATTTTCACTGACCGTATATATGGTCCCACCTGCTCAGCATGAAGTACCTTCCATCGCCTGAATACAAAGTGCATTTCATTCATGAAAACACAAAAGCCGGGAGCAGAACCCCACCCACAATGATCACACCGCTTTCATACGACCTCCAATTTGAAGAAGCCTTCATGACTGATACAAAAAGCTGGAAATTTTGAAAACAGCAGCTAAAAAATAATCGTTTAAAAATAGGCAAGGCTGTGTGAGGGGATACTGTGACATCTTCAATACCACTACTGCTGTGCATAAGCTGTGTTCCCATACACCAGGGTTTCATGACAGTCACAGGGCAGTCACAAGGCGGCTTGGACATCTGAACAGAACATAATGTGGCTTATCCTGGACAGATGCGACTTTCTTTTCCATGATGTGGATTATGCTGGAATGCCCATTCATTACCATAACAGCAGCATGGAAAAGAAAGTTGCAGTCGGGAGACGCTACGACTGTCGTCCTGAGGGACAGATCTGTAAGAAAGTTCGAACCAACGAATCGGTCTTTGGTTAACAGGGACATAATTTCCCAAAGCTTGCTCCACGTTCCCAAAGCTACGCACATTATTCATGACTGGGCTACCGGTTTTTGATTTATCACAAGCTAATATATACTAATATAACTTATAAGTAAATCTTGTAGATGCTGTTTGATGTTGGGGTTGGGTAGATCAAGAGTACCAACGTGCTACCGGTGGTCCAATACCATATCAAAAGGGGAAACACTAAAACAGAGATCTTGTTAAACGCACAAGCATCATACAGAAAAAAAATTCTGGATAGCCTTGCAGTGCCTGCTCTCCATCCGCTGTTTATCTACTTGACTTTGCAGCTTTTCCACCTGATACGACATTACCACCTGTCCTGAGAGCACTCTGCAACTACCCAGCACTGCCTCTGGAAATACCTGGTCGCTGAGGGCTGTCGAAGAGAACACGTAGGAAAAAAAGGATGCCATGGCGGGATGGTTTGTGATCAAACGTCGATGAACGTTTTCCATGGGAGGGGAGATGTGCACATGGAAGTAGCACTACCGATAGTAGCTTTGTTCTCTCTGCTGAAGGCCATTGTTTGAGCTGTTTGGACCCTGGCGGTACACTTCCTTTACAGAAAATTTCCTGGGCTGCGAACCTAAAGGGCCTGTCATTTCTAGCCTGGAAAATTGTGGAAATATCCCTTCGACAGTACCTGCAGTCTTTCAACTGCGCCCTTCCTCGGTGCCTGCAGGCTTCTCAGCAGTAGCAGAAACAAGATGAGTCCATTTGTGCAAAAAAACTATAGCACAAGACGAGTCCATTTGTACAAAAAAACTATAGCACAAGAAGAGTCCATTTGTGCAAAAAAAAAAGCTATTCTCTACAAGCTATGCGAGTGAGCTGAAACTCTGGGAACGAGTTCCCTCCTGCACCTGTGCAAGTGGAGAAGATCACATTTTACAATCCAACACTCGCCACATCGCACAGTGCTTTGCATGAGCAACTCTGGATTTCTTACAGAAGCATAACCATGCAACATCCATCTGACATAAATAGCCTGCTTGAATCGAAAACAATGAAACAAGCCCTGTCAGATGCACATGGACATCCTTCCAACCCAAGTCAAAATCTGCATGCGGATAAATAGACACACGCTTCCATCCCAACAAGTCAAGTTTGGGGACTTCCGAATGAAAGTGGGTTTCTTATGTCCAGCCCAAAGGGAAGAAAACAAAAAGGTTTATAAAAGAGAAACCGATTGTACCAAGTTTTTATTTTTTTTATAACTCAATAAGAAAAAGGTATTTCGTCAGACACCCCTAAAAGACATGGGTATGGCAAAATCCCCCTACGACAACTGCGGAACTTTGCAAAATACCCCACTCGCCAATTGGGCCTGTTGTCTTTTGCATAGACCCCTACCAGGCCCTGGGGAAATTGTCTACTTGGCCCCGTATTTCTTTCTGTTGGACCCTGCAGATGGCACAAAAATTGCGCCGGCCCCTCTAGCCTGGGGCCAGAGCATATGGAGAAGTTGCCAATGACCAGGACAGGGGCAGATGCAAAAGTTGAGGGCATTTCCGCATACCCCTGTGTTTTAGGGGTATCTAACGAAATAACCCAAGTTACCCAACCCTTTGGGGTATTTCAACAGTTCCTCTGCCCCGCGTGCAGATGGCACAAAAAAATAAAAAAATTTAAAAGTTAGTAGAATCATAGAATGATACAATCTTTTTTTTTCTTTTAAATAAAGTTCGAAAAAATAATAAAAATTACAATTTATACTAATTTTATAGTGATTTGCTCACCTCCAGCAATGATTATCTGTCCGTCCTGGCATCTCTGATGCGACAGCTGACCACTTTCCAACTTCATGTTTAGCAACCGCTTCCATCAACTTCTTATCCTCCTCAGGGGTCCAGCTGTCCTGTTTCAGACCAGGGTCCAGTACATTACACCACCTAAATAGGAATGAGGAAGGGCGGAATTCGGGGGGAGAAAGAGAGGTTCAGATGGGAATGCAGAATAAGCAGGATGCGAGGAATAAGAAGCGGTGTGGGAGAAAGCCGCAGGAGCAAGAGGAGCAAGCAAGAAGTAGGCATGCCAACAAAAATGAAGCAATACGTGTACATTGCAGACAACAGAGACATCCAGGTCAGCAATACATGGAGCATTGTGCATTGCATGTAGTAAAATCCTGCCTGGGCCAGGCTGGCGTACTAATCAGAGATTTCACACTTTGGCATGATACAAGAGTTCCACTCGTCAAAAAGCATACTGCAATCTAAAGAAGTCATTTCATTACGTCGTTTGTTCACAGACACATGATAACGAGTTCATCATAGTCGCAGAAAAAAACTAGGCCAGGCTTTGGCATCCAGTCTTGGAGCCTGCCTGCCTGTCAAACCCCAATCAAGCACAGCAGATAAACTGCCAAAAACCCTACGCAACTTCGCGCTAAGATAAACTGCCAAAAACAGGGGAGTACAAAGAACTTCCGATATCGAGGGAGCCAAACACACAGTAGTAGTCTCTCTCTACATTTTCTTCCCCAGCAGACATGCCAGGCAGGCTTCCAGGAATATAGCGAAAGCTCTCCAGTGGGTGCATCGCTGAATGTCTGTCTATTATATAGCCAGCAGGTGCTGACAGAAGCAAGTGTTCTTGCTGCACATGTGCATTATATGTGCCAGTCAGTGCTGGTCCCCGGATGGACCGGGGACCTTCAACCGACCGGGAGCCTACCGGGCAGTTCACTGGCCCGGCAGACCCCCCGTTCGATTTGGTGCACTCCTTCTGGGGGGCGGTATGGGGGATTTTTGGGCGTCCCCGTCCCTGCCCAGCCTCTTGGAGGCTGCCGCCACCAGTGAAGAAAAAAAACGGGCCCTACCGGACCCCGTTTTCTTTTGAGAACGCGCGACCAATCTCCGCCGCCGATTGGCGCAGATCAGCGGTGGAGAAGAACCCTTCGCAACTTCGCGCTAACATAAACTGCCAAAAACAGGGGAGTACAAAGAATTTCCGATATCGAGGGAGCCAAACACACCGTAGTAGTCTCTCTCTACATTTTTTCCCCCAGCAGACATAACAGGCAGGCTTCCAGGAATATAGCGAAAGCTCTCCAGTGGGCGCATCGCTGAATAGCCAGCAGGTGCTGACAGAACCAAGTGTTCTTGCTGCACGTGTGCACTTTTATGTGCCAGTCAGTGCTGGTCCCCGGATCGACCGGGGGACCTTCAACCGACTGGGAGCCTACCAGTCCAACCGGGCAGTTCACTGGCCCGGCAGGCCCCCGTTCGATTTGGTGCACTCCTTCTGGGGGGCGGTATGGGGGATTTTCGGGCGTCCCCGTCCCTGCCCAGCCTCTTAGAGGCTGCCGCCACCAGTGAAGAAAAAAAACGGGCCCTACCGAACCCCGTTTTCTTTTGAGAACACGCGACCAATCTCCACCGCCGATTGGCGCAGATCAACGGTGGAGATGGGCTGCGCGTTTCCAAAAGAAAATGGGGTCCGGTAGGCCCCTGTTTTCAAATTTGAAAACGTGGTGCGGATCTGCGGCCGAAATCGGCCGCGTTTTGAAATGTGAATCACGGCGTGGTTTTGCGCTGCCTCCGCCCCTCCGCCCAGCTTGCCCCATGCTACAGCAACATCACACAACGTTGATGTCGTGCCATTCAGCATGCACGTGGACGTCGTGTGCTGCCACCGCGCGACCAGTGCCAGTGCGCCCCGTCTCGAACCCGCCATCGACCTCTCTGTGCAGCTGCTTCGCCCCGCCAGCCCGCTTCGTCGCAACAGCCCCCCATAGCCGCGAAGGTAAGTCCACCAGCGCCCCTCCTCCTCCTCTTCTTCTTCTTCTTCTTCTTCTTCTTCTTCTTCTTCTTCTCCTCCTCCTCCTCCTCCTCCTCCTCCTCCTCCTCCTACTCTTCTTCTTCTCCTCCTCCTCCTCCCCTCCTCCTATTCTTCTTTTTCGTCTTCTCCTCCTCCTTCTCCTCCTCCTCGTCCTCCTCCTCCTCTTCTTCTTCTTCTCTTCCTCCTTGTCCTCGTCCTCATCATCTTTTTCCCTCCTCTTCTTCTTGTTCTCCTCCTCGTCCTCTTCTTCTTGTTCTCCTCCTCATCCTCTTCTTCTTGTTCTCCTCCTCGTCCTCTTCTTCTTCATCTTTTTCCCTCCTCCGCATCCTCTTCTCCTCCTCCTCCTCCTCCTCCTTCCTCTTCTTCTCTTCCTCCTCATCCTCGCCATCTGTTTCCCTCCTCCTCTTCTTCTTGTTCTTCTCCTCGTCCTCTTTTTCTTCATCTTTTCCCTCCTCTTCCTCCTCATCATCTTCTTCTTCTTCTTTTCCGTTCTTCTCCTCGTCCTCTTTTTCATCTTTTTCCCTCCTCTTCCTCCTCATCCTCTTCTTCTTCTTCTTTTCCTTCTCCTCCTCCTCGTCCTCCTCGTCCTCTTCTTCTTCTTCTTTTTCATCTCCTCCTCCTCCTCCTACTCCTTGTCCTCTTCTTCTTCTTCTTCTTTTTCTTCTTCTTCTTCTTCTTCTTCTTCTCCTCCTCCTCCTCCTCCTCCTCCTACCTCCCCATTGAGCCCGAGCCATAGCGG